AAACAACATAGATGAATAAGCTAACGTTAGGTGTCCGTTTATTTGTCTTTCATCATAAGCTAACATTAGGTGTCCATTTATTTGTTTTTAATCATAAGCTAACATTAGGTGTCCGTTTATTTGTCTTTCATCATAAGCTAACATTAGGTGTCCATTTATTTGTTTTTAATCATAAGCTAACATTAGGTGTCCGTTTATTTGTCTTTCATCATAAGCTAACATTAGGTGTCCGTTTATTTGTCTTTCATCATTAGCTAACATTAGGTGTCCGATTGTTTGTCTTTCATCATAAGCTAACATTAGGTGTCCGTTTATTTGTCTTTCATCATAAGCTAACGTTAGGTGTCCATTTATTTGTTTTTAATCATAAGCTAACATTAGGTGTCCGTTTATTTGTCTTTCATCATTAGCTAACATTAGGTGTCCGTTTATTTGTCTTTCATCATAAGCTAACGTTAGGTGTCCGTTTATTTGTCTTTCATCATAAGCTAACATTAGGTGTCCATTTATTTGTCTTTCATCATAAGCTAACATTAGGTGTCCATTTATTTGTCTTTCATCATAAGCTAACATTAGGTGTCCATTTATTTGTCTTTCATCATAAGCTAACATTAGGTGTCCGATTGTTTGTCTTTCATTGCTGGAAAGAAAATCACTTTTCAAAACATATTCAAGAACACATGGAGTCTGACCAATAATACTGATGTTTACAGAAAAATAGAGATATATGAGGTGAATTTATTTCAAACATCTAGAAACTAAAAGTATGAATTGCCAGAAAGTGACTATTTGGAATTTTTTATTTCAGAAATGAGCATCAGATTCATTAGTCAAATCTTGTGTATTATTGAACACTGGTTTTCTTTCCACCAATGAAAAGATGTACCTATGGCCAAAAAAAACTAGTCATGTTTTCTAAAATATTAACTTTAGATAAAAAAGTTATTTACAAATGTCTTTATGTATCCTCAGAAGTACACTAAATTATTAAATAACAGTAACTACTATGATTACTAGTATGTACAGGTCAACACAAATTACATACAGTTAGTTCTTGAGATTGGGTTTACAATTTTTATACGAACACAACTATTCAGAGCCAATCAATCATGTGGTGGTGAACAGAAAGTACCACTTGTTGGAGGTAGAGGATAATACAATTATCACTAGTATATACTTTATTTACGGGGATACAATACAATGATTCCATTCAACATGGTGTTATGAAGTTGTTGTCAGAGTTGTCAACTTTTCATGTTACTCTACATTGGTCATTTAGCAGTAGTACATCTTACGAATAGAAAAATACCAGATACAATATATAGAGATACTAGAAAAACTGTAGCTTTGCATTTCAGAGGTTCTAGAGGTTATGTAAATACAATGTGTAAACTGTACAATGGATAAACATATTTTTATTCTTCACATAAACAATACCTTAAACTCTAATTTGTGAGACTGACTTCATCATTACACAGACATATATTTTGTACAAAGCTTGCCAAGTTTGTGAAAATACACTTAGTAAACTTGGAATTAAAGTCCAAATGTCTTCTCCAATACAGAGTCTACCTTTTGGACCACTCCCGTGCACATTAAGTTAAAGTGCACCAACCTAAAGAGAGCTGTATTAAGTTAAATGCTTTGCTTTCGAACTGCAGAAGGAAGTGACGCAACCTTGCTTTCAACAAGAATAAGTAAAATGATTAACTGTATTTGATGTTTAAATTGACGGACTATGATCTTTATATCTGAAGAAATACTCATGATGGTATCCACGTTTAAAAATGCACCACAATTGTACAGGAAGACACATTCTACAAAGTAGGGTGTGTAGTTGCTGAATTTTTTAACAGGCAAGGAATACTTTCCAAACTATGAGAATATTTTATAAACTGAGCATTTAGAAACTTTTTATTACCTTTATATCAATCAGTGAGTAAATACAAAATGAAACTATTAACTTAGAAACTTTGTAAGTCAGCAGCTTAAGACTTTTATTTACTCAAATTATCCCAAATTATTTGACCAATGAGATAAATAGGAAAGTTATTCTTGCATAAAAAATTTCTAATACTGCAAAATTCCTTAATTTGTTGCAGGCTCCATGCCAATAAAATTGCTGACACATGAGAAGGAACATGCAGATTTATGGCAAAGTGTACTGGAGCACGCCCTAAGTGAGTGAGACGTAGTTGTCCATTCGATTTACTTTAAGATCTTACAAGTGCCGTTGATGAACACAGCTTCCATACAAAAGAGAACATACTCATTCATAGACCGAGGCCAGAACTCGATTAGGTTACTTAAAAGATAATGGTCATCTTTTTATTACTGTTGGTTTTCTTGATTACAGAATTTTACTTTTTTTATTTTAGAAAATTTAAGATCAAGTAGTACACTTGACATTCACGAGTGAGTAGAACTTAGTCAGAAACTACTTAGATCTTTAGCAAGAAGAGTTTAAATGATAACCTAGATTATCAATGTAATAGTGTTAGTATTCACCACTGATTTGTTATTACCGTTTAACTAAACATGTTTCAGTGCTTATAACTATGTTAGATAAATGTTCACATCTTGTGTTTCTTATCAACTCAAAATGCATTTGTTGGATAAAATATTTGGTAATGTTCAAATACTACCTTTAAAACAGATTAATAGGACAAGTGAATTCCCCTTGTGATTAAATTAAACAAATGTATAAAGGACATAAAAATGTACAACCTGAATATTAACATCGTAATCTGAAGGCCCATGAATGGAACCATATAGACCAAATCCAACAACAAATATTCGTCGGTCCACCATAAACCTGGAAGACAAAAACATTAGCATTTTAGCATAGAATTTACAGTAGCAGTTGTTAAAAGTGCAAATTTTGAATCTTCTGCAGGTGTTGTGTCTATATGTTATAATATTTCCTGAACTATCCACAAAGGATTCTTGAAACAATTTATACAGAAAACAGTACTGGAGGGTTTCAATTTCTCATATCTTGATTTTTTGGATTTTTAGCTAATCGTAAGATTATTGGCTCAGATAATTCATTAGCTGTTGAGTTTTTATAAGCCAAATTTTTCTAGACTTTTCTTCGTTTTATTCCCTTTTTCCCTCAAACAAAACTGGTTACTACTTTTATTCACCATCCTTACAAAATCTACAACAAGTTTCAACTTTTTATCTGGAAAGCAAATCAAGATGTTCTTAAAAATAAATGATTCAGTTATGAATGTTTTAAAACCCTATTTTGCAAAAGCTAAAACCCCAACAGTAAAAAAGTTTCAACATACCTAAATTACCTTTTACTTAGGCTTAGCAATTCACTGAATATCACATTAAAGTTTAAATAAAAAAACATAACATACCATCTGATTACCTGTATGTTTTAGGATTGGTTTAAGTCTCAAGTTTATGGAACTTTTCCACATTGAAAGATAATTCGCTACACTAAGACATGCAGCTATCACATGCAAATTTACTTCCTCTCACTATCATTAAGAGGACTTTGCAAAATCAGCGATGGATCTGTATGAATAGTAAAACTCAACCATTTCAAATTAACTCACCAATAACTGCCATGATGAATGTGATGACTGTAAGCCTTTTGCATAAAAACTACACAATACGTGAAAATGATACAGGTGAACAAAGAAACATTCATCGGCAACAGCTAGAAATGAGCAAAGTCAGGCTTCCATTTTATTTTTGTTGCAAAAAACAGTAGGTAAAACATACAATTATATCATCAAATAACTCTTCAATGATCTCATATATACACTTATACCCGATATAAATTGTTACTATTACAATAACTATACAGATCTTTACTTAAATTATTGTTTTAAGTTAAAGTTTTGATTATTACCTTATCCTGTCACTGGTGCCACTGTAACCCCAACGGCTTTCTGTTTGTTGAAATCTACATACAACTTGTTCTTTGCCTGTGAGAATACATGATCGGGGAATATCAGGAAAGTTGATGGTTGGTTTAGGATTGACAGTAAAATACAAAAAGAGCGATACCACTTCCCGATCACACAGTATTCCTGCCTGAGCGGGTCCAACGGCAAACTCCTCTACTGTCATCAATGGAAATCTAATCAAACGGATCGCAGTACCAAGCACTGTCCTCTGGTTTTCTGGGTTCACTGGGAGATTCTGACGTACGCACTCCTGCTCTGCCCATCTTTAATTAGAAAATAAAACAGAGCCACTAATAAATAAATCTTTAAACGACCAGGAAATTAAGAAAAAACTCTAACTCTGCCCACCTTCAGTTAAAAAGCAACACAACAATAAACTTTGATTGATAGAAAGTATCACAATAAAAAAAAAGTTGCCAAAACAAATACATTTTTCATTCTCAATTCTTTAAACCCATAACTTTTTGCACATTCTGTAGGAATTATTTTCATGATTTCCTAATAATTATTACCATATCATATAAAACAAAAATTTTCTTTATTTTGTGGATAATAACATGGTTTGGATTAGTTTTCAGCCAAAGAGGCCAGACGCTGGAAGTGTCCCCTCGGGTTACTATTACGGCCATAACAAGAAACAACAAATATCAGTTTTTATAAAAGCAACAAAATTAATGTAGAAAATTTATACATTTAAATCATAGAAATGCAAAATAATTAAAGCAACATTGTTTTATGTTACTATAAGCAGAAGTCAAAAGTACAACAGAATATAAAACAACAACAAAATAATGATGAAAAGGTCAAATAACTCTATATGGTATTTTATTAAGTTTTTAAGTTATTATTTATTATATAAAAACAGATTTTTAAGCATCTTGAAGATACATCTGTGACATATATATATATATATATTTGGCTCTGTAATAATAATAATAATAGAAAAAATATTGTTTTAATCAAAATCAACTGTATATACATATGTATTCTAGTGTAATAGCAACAAATGTGAAAATCAGTTTAGAATATAACTTATTAACAAATCCTTGAATTATTTCATATACTTATATATGCATTTGTGGTGAACTGATTTCCCTGCAAGGATCAGGAAAGCGGGTAAACTTGCCCTCTAATTCCAGTTCACATTGTTACCTTGTGATCTTTGTTCATTCACACCAATGGCTAACTGTAGCATTCAGACACTGTCAATTCGGCCAACAAAGGATATTACAGTCCTGATCCTTTCAACCCAGATGCTATATGTTACTGCAATATCCTCTTGGGCAGAATAGACATCTATAAAGAACAAAGTAGCTAGAACACGGCAATCTCAACAACTTTCTGGACCACGTGTTTATGCTAAAACTACATAAAAATTAAATGAATAAAATTTTTTCAAAACTTCTCTATTACTAAAGCAGGTAGAAAACATGATATGCCTGCATATCTCATGTATATACACCACACACATACAGAAAAGTGCAAAAGTTACTACACAGTTGGTACTAGATGGTTTGTACAGTTGGTATTACACAGTTTGTATTAAAGAAAATATGAAAACAACTGAAACCAATTCAATTATTTTTTTTCAGAGAAAGACATTAGAAATTAAACTATGTTCCAACTGAAATAACTATGTACACATTTTTGCCCTACCCTGTATATAAAATGCATAAAATAAAAAAATTTCCAAAATTCCCCCAATCTGTTTTTGAATACCTATTGTACAAGTCTGGTCAATATCCATTCATTTTGTTTTGAAACATCCTGTACATATGGTTTGGGAAAGATTTTCTATGTACTAGTGACCTTTTTTGATGTTCATCTTTGACCCACAACCTTCAAAAGTTAATCAGGTCTAGAAAATTATATGTAACCCTGATATACCCCGTCCACAAGATTGGAACATACAGATGAACAGACAAGCAAACCAATATGCTCCATTCTGCCTCACAGTTGGGGTATAACTATACATAATTACAATCAAATATCTAAAACTTGAATATCCTACCTTCTTGATTTGTTGAGGTATCAATAAATGTGCCAAACCCACAGAGTAGCCCTCCACCCTTTCTATCTGAGTTTCAAGAATGTTTTCTAATCAACCTTACATGATGTATGGATATTTTTATAATGAACACAAAGAGCAGTTCCTACTCTATATATAAATCTTGAGATTCATCGTTTACTTTTCCTGCTTTAAAGGGTTAGTCAGGTGAATTGTTTGGCATGTGATGATCGTACTTGTTTCTCCTAATGGTTAAGGAATGTTTTTAACCTATTTATAACTTACCTAGGAAGCCAGATAAATTAGTTTAAGGACATTCTATTCTAGTGACTGATATATATATATTTATTCTATCAAATGCATATTTGAAAAGTACATGAATGTAAATGAGCTCAACTAAGCAGTAAGTACTACAAATCCTTGTTTCTGTTCATTGTTATATATTTTAAGAAAAGTAATTAAAATACAAATATTAGAATCTTCTCAGCTTAGCATAACAAAATTTAAGTAAAATAACATGTAACAATAGTACTTTCTCTCTCTGAATTGATCAATAGCCAATGTCTTTATGGGCATGTTATTTACTTTTTGATACAAAAAATTGGTTTATTCTTATTAATATATATATATTTCTTTTTTATATTTCAACAGCTATGAAGCAAAATATAAATACGTTTTACATCACTATTCAAAAATATGTTTATCAGACTATTAACTAAGCTTTATTTTACAATTGTTATATTTATATGAATGGAATTAAGTCCATATTCAAGTTATTTTACTTGCACTTACAGAATATTCATCAAGTTTTGTACAGAGAATTTAAATGGGGCAAATGTTGGTGTATTCTTAAAGTTTGATATCAGCCTACAAGTACTTACCTATCTAAGAAGTCCTAGTTACTAATTTTATTTTGTTTTGTGAGAGAGCAGGTCAATAACTACTGTGTTCAATGTTCTAAGCAAGCCTACAAAGATACAAACTGTCTATATCAGCCAGCCATTTCTTCTAAATAAATACATAAAATCTAGATTGTATAATACCTAGTTAAACTACTATGTCATCCATTTTTAAAAATTTAGACAATTTTTTAAAATACATATATGTTATATATAATATTTTAAATATCCCTTTAAATCTTGGTGTCCCTACATAACGGAACACAGGGCAACAGTTCAAGTGACTCAGCACACTTATGGCTGTAAGAAAGAGATTTCTTGAGTTTGAATCAGAATAAAGTTCTCCTTAAGCCTTATATTGTCATATTTGTTAACTGCAATGTTCAATCTTTTAAAACCTTCTATTATTAACACATTAAAGGATAACCTTTAAATCCACATTATAATACGCCCTAATGAGGTTTTAAATCACAGAAATGGTTAACAGTCAATATTACGATTAATCCTAATGAGGTTTTAAAATGCAGACATGGTTAGCTAACCCTAAACTATCTAAGGAACGTTAGAGTTGGGCAGCAATCTCTTTCTGCTTTACTCATGTTAGTTCATGAGTGTACAGTCGAGTATGAATATATTTATGGTGCAATATACCACAAGGAAGAACCTGCAAGCAGACTTGTGAAACCCCCATCTCAACAGTGAGCATAATAGACTTTATAAATCCTATGGTGTGGATTTTGGACATCACTATACCTGGACAGGCACCAATCGCCACAGAGCAGGATCCATAACATGTGAAGTAGGCCCCTGAAAAACAATCAAATAGAAATATCTTACCCACTCAAGAGTTGTACTGATGTGTGGAGAGCAGCTACAAGGGGAAGATGATATCCGGCTGAGCAGGAAACCACCAAATGGTGCAAGTAACGTGATACAAAGGTGTGGGTAGTGGTCTAGGTGATGGCCTGTATAATCTCCTCCACAGTAAGATTGAAATGAGCACGCAAGGACACTAGAAGGTGACAGATCTGATGGGACAAAACACAGAACAATTGGTAAGATTCAGGAAAAAAGGGAGTGAGAGACACGGAAGGGTGCTGTGCTCAACAAGTAACACTGTGAAGCATGGACCAGACACAAGAGATCAGAGCAGGAGGAAATATTGGAAGGAAAAAAAAAGGGTGAAGGCAAAATCTCCTTGATGTTTTGGGAAGGAAGGAACAGTCGGGATATTAAATGAAAATAGGTTTTATGGTACAGAAAGCAGTGAACATTGATGGCGAACAAACCCAACAGGTAACAGCCAAAAGGAGAAGGAAAGCTCTTCAAGGAAAGGTGATATAAGGACATGGGGCTAGCCGTTTAAAGGGAGGAAGGGAAAAGGCAGGGAGAAAAACATTTAAATTACAGTCTGGCAACTTAGTGGTACAAGGAAGACAATGGAGATGCATAGATGAAATAAAAGGAAAATAAATGGAGAGGAAACACACGGCAAAAACAAAAGGTAGATCATAGGGCCGCCAAAAGCCTGCAATATTTGAAATGGACAGACCCATGTCAAACAAACATGTAAAAATCAGATATCTGAGGAAGGGAAGGTGATGAAAGGGAGAATCCATGCCGGATGTGCCAATGATGCAATTTTCTCCACACACATTGATACACTGACATGGAGAAGAAATGGACAGAGTGAGACAACAAGGATGCTACACTTGTTGATAGTCCCAATCCCCTCGCAAGGGACAGGACAAAAGCCATGCATGAAGTTGGAGTGCATGAATGGAGGGATGAAGCACTCCTGAGCATGGTTGCTGGAGGAGGGACTGGAAAAGGGAGAGGTAATGAAGGAAGTTCCTGGAGAAGAGACAAACCATGGCTGAGCCAGCTAGAAAGGAGCCACAAGGACTTGACATGGAGTGGATGAGAGAAATTACTTAGGGTAGAAGATAAATGGGAGGGTATGTATAAAAGAAGAGGTCCTTCCAATCTTAGCTGAACACATCCATGGCCAAAGCCAAAGGAGACTAAAAGAAAGAAAGTTTGGCATTCAAACGAGTGGCAAATGCAAACAGGTGAGGAGTATCCAACTGAGAACATAGCTATCGGAATATCTGGGGGTCAAGAGAGAGATCATTCTGTGGGTAGATCCTTGTTGGGATAGGAAACACGAACCATGACAAGATTGAGTACACCTAATATGTGGCAAGCCAGCAAATGAATTTGATGCCTGTGAGCCCAGAATAGGAGCTATAGAGTGCAGGAACATAAGAACTGGGTGCCCACTTTGCAGCTTATGTAATAGACAATAGAAATTGAACTATTGCCCAATGAACAGCAAGGAGTTCCAAAAGGTTGATGTGTAGACCCAATTCCTTCCAAGACTAACAGCCTGAGATCCCCCATGTATTGCAGCACGCACTCCATCTTGACAACGAGGCATATGTGAAGACATGGTTATCTGGATGGGGAGGAGGAATAGGTACTGCCACTGCCATGTTGTTCCTGTATAACCACCAGCAGAAGTCAGAATGAAGGAATATCTGTAAATCCAGAGGGTCCATGATGAGGTGCCACTGATCTTGTAGTACCCACAAATGCATGTGGGCATGGCCCAGAGGTACAAGAGCCTTCAGTGATGCTCAAGTCTCCCAAAAGAGACAGAATGTCTCGCATTGGAAGAGAAGGTGCTGATATTGCTCTGTAAGCTACAAACTCCACAGCTTGCAATCGAAGAGGAGAAGGCTGGGCTTGATTGAGATGAGAGTTGAAAAAAAATTCCCCAGAAGAACAAAATTGGGTGGATAAAGTATTTCCCCACCGTGATAATCCACCCCACCCAAGCAGCTTCTCAGATGAGAAGTTGGGTGTCTAAGACACTATGAAGGATAGAGCCAGAAGAAACCAGATGTCCATATAAAGAGGGAGAGTGAGAATGCAAAATCGTAGGAATCAGTCAAACGACTAGACAACCAGACAGAAAGTGTAGGGTGCCGATGCCAGCCTGAAAGGAAGAGCTCAGAAATGATAAATGAGATCCTGACAGACAAAACATAGATAATGACATGAGGCAACAGGGATGTGAAGATAAGCGTTGAACACATCGAATTGCATCATTCAAAGCCCTGGAAGAAAGGCCCATATGAGAGATGGGTAGGATTCCATGGTGAACAGAGGCACGTCAAGGAAGCAATTCAGATGGGAGAGATCAAAAACAGGATGCCAATACATGGTCTTCTTGAGGATAACAAAAAGTCAGGAATATAATCCTGAAAGTACAAGAGAGACCTGTTTCATGGCACCCTTGATTAGAAGGTCTTGAACTGCTTCTGTGATATGCTGGCAGGAAACAGGATCTTGAGGGAGGGGAAAGGGACTGGGACAGAAGGAAGAGGAGGGAGAGTACTTCTAACAAAACTTAAATGACTCAAGAGTTTGCTGAATGATGATATACAAATGCATGAGCCTCTGCAGTAGGTGGGGGTGAAGCATACTAATCCCTGCACATAACTGGTCTGCAAAACGTTTGGCATGGATCCCAATATTAGGCAAAGGGGGGAAATTAAAAACTCAGAAATAGCTGCTGCAGTAAATAACAAAGGGGAGGGATCAAATGACATAAATGACAAAGACAAAACACAACATAGTTGTTGATAGTCATTGTAGTCATAATAGTAAATTGCGAGTTCAAAAATATTGACTGACTACTGGTAATTAAGTGATAAATAGAATTCACAATCAAATAAAGTAATCCAACTTGATAGTGGATTATAAACAATACTTTGAGAATGTTCAAAATACACTAAAGAAAAAAACTTAAATCAAGCACTAGAGGGTATCAGCTGCGATAGGAGGGTTTGTTGCACTCCTATTGGTGGAGGACCATCGCATATTGGGAGGATAGGTTATATATATACAAGACAATTCTTATCCTGTTCAAACTCTAAATCAAAAGTTTCCAATAAATTACAATAATAAACATATCTAAGTCTTTTTCACCTACTTTGAAATTACACCTGTATATAAATCTAAATGTCTTACTAAACATAATAATATACTATATGGATTTACATTTTTGGATACAAATGTTTAACATTAGTCTGCATTTCATAAACCTAAAAACAAGTTATAAATATGACCTGTAAGTTCACATTCTTAAGCCATTTTTTAAGTATCCCACTTAACCAGTATTTGAATAAAAGAAAATGTAACACTACCTGACAACTGCATTGAATAGCTTTGCTTCCCTGATTCGGAGAGTGTCTCTCTCTAAAACAGCACAAAGAGTGTCGTGATCAATGTCTGTAAATCCTTCTGCAGCTAGTGCTTCAGAGGTACATTTGTCGATGGTTTCGAGGCAGAGAGCAGCAAGTTGCGGTTCATCAAACAATCGCGCTTGGGTTAGGAGCATAAAGGCATTGTCACTACTCAGATTAGACTTTAAAAAATCCACACAAGCTTTTTCTAAAGCAGGAACAGCATATTTTTTGGCTGTGTACAATGTTGTCATTACAGTTTCTGGACCAATCTGAACCTCATCAGAGTATAAAAACCTAAGTAGAGCCAAAAAAGCTGCAGGTTCAACATCAGGGAGGTCTATTTCATCTGAGCTTGTTGCCATGGCACCATTAAACATAGCATCGAATACAGCACTACCAACAGAAAGAACGAATTTGTGAGCTGGAATTCTCTGCAGCTGAGCTCCTTTTCCTACAATAAAATGTACATCACTCAAGATTTCTTTATTAAAAATAAAGGCCAATCTTTCTTTGACTGTGGCTTTGCTTGCTTGCCAATTGAACAGAACATGTCCACCATAATTAAGTGAACCTGGAGTGTTATTTATGGATGCTACTACTTCGTCATCTTCATGTCTACAGTATGTAATCACGTTATCCCTCTCTCGCTGATTGTTCCTGGAATTAACAGGCACCTCCCGTCCACTTATGTTAATGGGCTGGGAGTTGGATATTCCAGAAGCCATGCTGTTCGCACAACTTCTGAAACTGACACTGAGGGGCTCCAGATCTAAGTATGAATCTGAAGAAAAAAAAAAGAAATGGCTGAATCATACTCCTCATATTTCACTTTACAAAGTATTATTTTAACTAAATTTAGGTTTCAGACACATGGAAACTAAAATAATTAACTTCTGTAACTTGAGAAATGTAATAATAACTTTGTTTCAGTGGAACTTTAGGCAGAGTAAACATAGTAGAAGAGAAGAGGAGAATAATGTTTTGGCTTCTATACTGATGCCTTTTTATGTTAACAGATATTTGCAGTTCTTAACTCCAATAATAATTCTAACATATCTTTAGCAAATAGTTTACCAGCCAGTTAATATCTGGTCAGATATTCATTACTAAATCTTTCTGTTCCAATTCTTAAAGTGCTATATCAATATGGCTGTTTTTATTTTTTGGTTTTGTTAAGTTTGACTAGTCTATATTATTGTTATCAACCATGATTTTCTGCAGTGAGGTTTTGGTTCAAGACATCTAACAGTCATAAAATTATAATATAAATGGATTACTACAAGTTTTCCTAAATGAGATATAAATAACATTATATGTACATCTTACATGTACTGTCTTTAGCTTTAGAGGAAGTGTTACCTTCCAATGCATAGCCTTCCTACTGTGATCATTATATATAAACAAACACAGGAAATTAATTCACTTCAACAATATTAACTCTTTTAAGTAGTATAAAAACGTTTTTGAAATCTTTAATAAATTGAATTTGTTACATACTGAATCTAAACAACCAAAAATATGAATAAAAATCCACTAACCCACTGATTAATTCAACTTGAGAATAGCCATTTACATACATTTATTAAACAAAGTTATGACAACATCAGAAAGTAAACTATTCTACAAGCTTATAATTCTCAACTGAAACTAAAAATCATTTTTAAGTTGAGTTGAAAGTTAGAGCTCCAACCTTTTATTCATAGTATTTAAGTTTGTGTTTCCAACCTTTTCACCCACCACTCAAACAGGCCAAACTGAAATGAGTTTCATATCCCAAACAATTCTGAGCCAAATCTCTTTCAATTCTTCTACATTCCAAAAAAAAAACAAGTCTGAAGCTCTAAGTTGCTTCTACAAACTAAATTATTTAAGCCAGATAAAATTCTTGTAGCCCAAATCTACAGTCCCTCCATGTTTGCATTCGTTCTCAAGTGAGGGGACCAAAGTTTCACACACCTACATGCACTCTAAATAAGGTCTCCCCATTTTCGATGACGAGAAACTCACTTTGAGACTAATAATGGTTGGAGACGGCTTGAATAGGTAATGAAGAAAAACTTTAATATAAGTTCAACATAACAGCAAATGTACAATGTTTAGACAAGGTTTTGTCATCATAAGTTTTTCTTTATTGCCCATTCAAGCCATCTCAAACCATTAAAGGTCTCCCCAGTCTTACAAAAGTAGGATTGAAATATTTTGGTGATAAATGTATCCAGCTTGATTATCTAAAAGAGTGTATAAACAACTTAATATTATGAAATAAAATTATATCTAGTTTTTATTGGAAACATTAACTTACAAAATCAGCTAACCCTTTTCATAAATTGATTCAGACAGACAAGTATAAAACTTGAAGCTGGAGAAATTTATTTTTACAGTACTATTATAAGAGATTCTGTATTAAATACAGGTTGGACTGCACGACACACTGAAATTGTGCCCAGTTTTTACTGTCATAAGCTAAATTTTCGAAAATGATATGCAAAAAAAAAGCTTTATATTTATCATAAATTATACAAGTCACTTTTCTACTTAAACATAAATTTTGAATTCTAAACTGAAAATCCAGAAAACTGGGATTTCCGTTCTTATTTTCACTTTCCAACCAGGAGACTGAAATAGATGATGGAACTAGGATTTATGGAACCCCAAACAGGTGGCAATACTAACCTTCTTGTTTGCAAGTTCAAAATTCCTACAAATAGAATCAATATTACTATTTATTCTTTTTAATGCAGCTAAAGAACGAAAATTTGACTACACCTCCTTTTAAAAACAATCTGAAACCAAATGTAAACTAAAAAAGTTGTTTAATTACATTTTGAAATTTTTACAAATACAAAGCATATATAAAAATAAAAAGACAAATATTTTGAAACTTCAAAACATTTCTTTAATGGTCTAGAAACGTAGAACTTTGATGGACGTTTTTAGAAGTGGGAGGGTACAACTGTTTGGGTGCGTAAAACTTCAACATACTATATAGCATTAATTTGTATTTAGCCCATTTAACACTTTGGAGCTAACCCTAAATTGTAGGTTTGACAATACTTTGATCAAATGAACTTATATTGCCAAGCCTAACTGATTTTTAAAAACAAATAACGTGAAGTACGTAAGTAGATTCGAGAGCTAAATCTGCGCACAAATAACAGTTTTACTTTTACTAGTTTTAATTATGAGTTACGTTACCATTCTGCATTCTAACTTTATCGTAATTGAACTGAAATATCACAGCATATTGAAATGTTCATTAAATATCGTATAATATATATATATTCTTTACCCTACAATTTACTTTATTGTACAATGTTATTATTAATGATATTTTCTACCTGCTTTAACGCAAGCTTCGGGTTTAAGGGTTAGGCTACTTTATAACGATAATATATCGACGATACGAAGCTAATCCTTCCTAAAGAGAGAATTAGGTACAGTAAACATACCATAGGGACTAGTCAGGGGTAGTCCTACTTTAGACCAAAATTTTAATTATTATTACTTTAAAGTAAGAGGCAAAAAAATATAATAACATCACCATTAAAACAACATTAGGATCACAAAAAACTGTGACAATTTTCTTACTTACTTCTAATCCTAGTTTAATTCCTATTTTTACAACGCCATTTTTTAACCACCGCACTTTAAAATCGTAGCAAATTATACTTGTTTTTCAATCACTTGATTTAATTATCATACACTAAATTTCTTGTTAATAATACTATATATTTTCGTTTGATAAAATATTATACGAAAAACGTTGAAAGAAACAAAGTATCGCTATTAATAATTTCAATAGTTGATTCAAAATATGTAATCAACGATAAGATCACTATTACGAATTTCACAACGTAACATGGAATAAGTAAAATAGTTTTAAAAGTTAAAGTTTTCAATAATTTTATTCATGTTAGAAATTGATAAATCTCTTATCATGTCAACACATAGCTAAGAACCAGGTAGTGGAACACTTTCGGGATGTGTGTCTCGAAATTAACCTAAATCTTACATATTAGCAGACAAATAATAATAATAATGTCACGTCTCTGTGTTCGTTTGTTAATTTTCCGTAGAAATTCTTTCC